TGTGCTACTGTGCAGTATTTTAAATGTTTTTTACTTATTATTGGTGAAAATTAACATACAGTGGTTTAAAAATTAAAAACGTTTATTACTAAATTATATTTTTAATTAATTATTAAAATATAGATTGTTAATAATATAAAATTAACTAGAATCATTTAATTAACAAGACCCATAATACTTTATATTATAATATTTTTAAAAAAAACTACTAATTGGCGATTAAGCAGTGCTAACAAAATTAAACATAAAGGTAAATATATATCTAACAACACTTTGAAAATTAACCCAAACTTTACATTCATAGAGAAAGTTAGCGATATTTTAGCACCGGTTCCGTCCAGTAAGCATACCATACAAAAACATGTACCACAATGAATCCAGTGCTAAAAGCCTTGAAAAGGGACTCGCAACTACAGTACGTTACAAAATTAGAAATGTAAAAGTGATACAATTATAAAACAAGTAATTTAAAGGTTATTATTATTATTTTTATAAAGGCTGAGGCTATCGACTAATAGGTTAGTGGGCTATGCTGGCCTGGTAACCATTTGAAATAGATATGAATATACTTGGTCAGAGGTCTTCGTGAGTCGTGTCCATTTCGCCGCAGGACTTCGGGTTTGGGAGTAGTGACCACTTTTATCGGGAAAGAATTTAATCTATTTTAGGGCGTATTTTATGTTTGAATATGTCATATGATATATCAATCGAACGAATTTGATGTGTAGATCATAATTCTGAATACCTGTAAGGCGCCTGCTTCTGAATGGTTGATTATCATAGTTAAATTAACGTTTTGGATATTATTCTTCCAGATTATACGCAATGTGACTTTTCCTACAATATAAATAGTACTAATCTTATCCCAATTTATTTACAATGTTTATAATATATGTTTAAGCTTTAAGAATTAAATATGATAAATTATTTATATTGACATTATATAATATAAATTAAAGCATATTAATATAGCATTCCAAATATTAATATTATTAATTAATTATAAAACTTTGTAACAATATTATGGTTTAAAGGACATACATCTAAATGTTTTCACTTAAAATTCAACACAAATTTATAAAATTATTTACTTTAGATTATCATTTATTTTTGGTACATCATAAAACTAGTTAATTGTGTCATACATTTTATTGCATTATTNATCGCGAAGAATATCGCGGATAATGTTAACGAATGCGTAAAATTAAAGGTCAAACTCGAGAAGTATAAGGGTGACATGGAAGAGTTGGAAAAGGAGCTAACTTTTAAAAAACACGAGGTAACCATCCAGAAATTAGCCCGGCCAAAAATGGTGTGCACCGACAGAAATGGATGCGCCACATGTGACGTAATCGACGGCGTGCTCAAAACTACCTACACCGAATGTCATTCACCATGCTACTTGGACGGTAGCATAGAGTCCAATAGGGGACTGTTGCGGTGCGTGGCGTTCAACAAGAACAGCATGGTGGATCACGAACCTGGCCAGCGCCAACAATCGGGGTTAATGCGAAATGCGGTTGACAAAGTAAAGATGCTGGTCAGCCAGTCGTCCGAATGCAGCGTTTGTGGCCACAGCTACACAACACATCGAACCATTGACTACGAGACCACCGTCGAGGTAATCACTGTGGAGGACCCACACATCGCGGGTGAGCTCAAAAAGGGCGAACTGTTTGTCCCAATCAAAGAGATAAGGATTAGAAACGCCGAGAAATCGATACGAGAATTGAGCAACGAAAATGAGATAATTGTCACATCGATGTCAATGTTTGCCCGCTTTCTGGCCAAAAACGGTTTGTCGCTAATAAACGACTCGTTTGAAGATTACGTGCGGCAACTTATAGCCAATGAGAAGGTAGGTTTGTCCGCCGGCGCCGACACACAGGGCACCATCGATGAGCTCAATAAGTTATTGGAGCGATACAATGCCGATAAGCAGCTCATTGAGTCCCATACGGCCGATGCGGGTCAGCACGAGGTCATTACTGCTAAGGATGTAGCCGATCGAGTGGCCCAACTGTGTTCGCTGCCCAACAAAGGCGCCGAAATTAAGCAAATGCTGGATAATCAGAAACGGGCCAAATTTGATAAACACCGTAATCTCACTCATGTGGCCACCAATTTCAGCATGGCCATGGGTTTTTGGCAAAATCTAGATCACTAATTCACCTATGCGCATTAAGTGTCAGTAATTTTGATTTGTTATTTTAATAATTTTTATAATATTATTAATATTAATTTTATTTAAACAATATAAATAATAATTGAGTAATTAGCTGTGTTAATTTAGTTATATATTAATTTAAATATGGTTAGTGTTGGTTATTGTTTTTTAATTAATTTTGTAATCAATGTATAATTATAATATTACAATTAAAATTGTTTGGCATCAATTTGATTTTATTTAAAATTCTTATAATTGGGTTATAATTTAAAAATAATTAATAAACAATTGTATATAATTATATTTGATTTGTGCTACTGTGCAGTATTTTAAATGTTTTTTACTTATTATTGGTGAAAATTAACATACAGTGGTTTAAAAATTAAAAACGTTTATTACTAAATTATATTTTTAATTAATTATTAAAATATAGATTGTTAATAATATAAAATTAACTAGAATGATTTAATTAACAAGACCCATAATACTTTATATTATAATATTTTTAAAAAAATCTACTAATTGGCGATTAAGCAGTGCTAACAAAATTAAACATAAAGGTAAATATATATCTAACAACACTTTGAAAATTAACTCAAACTTTACATTCATAGAGAAAGTTAGCGATATTTTAGCACCGGTGCCGTCCAGTAAGCATACCATACAAAAACATGTACCACAAGAATCTAGTGCTAAAAGCCTAGAAAAGGGACTCGAAGCCAATGCAACTACAGTACGTTACAAAACCAGAAATGTGAAAATGATACAATTATAAAACAAATAATTTAAAGGTTATTATTATTATTTTTATAAAGGCTGAGGCTATCGACTAATAGGTTAGTGGGCTATGCTGGCCTGGTAACCATTTGACATGGATATGAATATACTTGGTCAGAGGTCTTCGTGAGTCGTGTCCATTTCGCCGTAGGACTTCGGGTTCGGGAGTAGTGACCACTTTTACCGGGAAAGAATTTAATCTATTTTAGGGCGTATTTTATGTTTAAATATGTCATATGATATATCAATCGAACGGATTCGATGTGTAGATCATAATTCTGAATACCTGTAAGGCGCCTGCTTCTGAATGGTTGATTATCATAGTTAAATTAACATTTTGGATATTATTCTTCCAGATTATACGCAATGTGACTTTTCCTACAATATAAATAGTACTAATCTTATCCCAATTTATTTACAACGTTTATAATATATGTTTAAGCTTTAAGAATTAAATATGATAAATTATTTATATTGACATTATATAATATAAATTAAAGCATATTAATATAGCATTCCAAATATTAATATTATTAATTAATTATAAAACTTTGTAACAATATTATGGTTTAAAGGACATACATCTAAATGTTTTCACTTAAAATTCAACACAAATTTATAAAATTATTTACTTTAGATTATCATTTATTTTTGGTACATCATAAAACTAGTTAATTGTGTCATACATTTTATTGCATTATTTAGAAAAATTAACTTTATTATCATAATGGATTAAGTATATGTATATGTATCAAATCCATATACTGTATATTTATAGCTTTACATATTTAATTATGATTGATAATACAAAACTAGATTATACTTTATACCATATAATTTTGTTCCAATTACGGTAATAAATTTATAAGCAATGTTAGAATCCAGGGATGGCTTAGTAAAAAAGTCAGGCGATTATCGTTACAATGATGCGACACAATGCATATATAGAAACATAATAACCGCGATTATTTTTATTATTTATTTTTACTTAAATTATATTTGACGTTTAAGCCATCTTAATAAAACAATTAAAATGATTATAATGTTCCAAATAAATGTAATACATGTAAATATATACCGTAAATTAAGTTAGCATCGTATATTCATGTTATTTAAAATAACTTGTAAGCAAATTAAACACATTCATTGTATTTAAGTTTAAGGTTAAATCATTTAAGATTAAGCCAATTTATTTGCCTAATCAGGTTGTTTCTAAAAGTATAGTCTGACAGTGAAAGTGTTATGTAAATCATCGTGTTAAAAGTAGTTAAATATTATTATGGTTATTTATGAAAATAATAAAAATTAAAAACTTAAACCGATCAGCGATTGGACAACAAATTGTATAAACAATAAAATCCGTGAATTAATATTTATGAATTCAAACCACCATAATAATTATACAATTATAATAATTTAAGATGATAAACAACCATCATACCGATGAGATCCCATTTCCGATTGCAATTTCATGGCACGACATCAATGTCTTTAGCAAAAAGTCAAGAGGAATACCACTTCCCTTTAGAAAGGGTGACCACAAACCATCTGCTCATATACTTATTAATGGTAAGTTATACATTATACTGTATACATTATTTAAAATATATATAACCAGTTTATTCGAGGAATCGGTAACATTGTTATACATTGAGTTACATAAATATACTCCATATGCTTAATTAATGCTTATAATAATACTTACATAAGATGCAATTTTGTTTGTTAATTTAGTGAGTGGTCAAACAAAAAGTGGACAATTGTTGGCAATTATGGGCTCAAGGTAATAATTGTTATTATTCACAACATTGCGCATAAACTGGGAAAATAATATCCCAAACGTTAATTTAACCGCGATTTAACCATGATAATTAAATTTTATAATAATATAACTTTACATATTTATAAACCTAACTATTTGTGAGGCATTACTAAATTTTTTTCTGGCTAGCACTCTTCGTTGATTTTTAATTGAAATTCAAAGTGCAAATGGGAGACTAATCTCCCAGTTTAAGCTTGTAGGGAATTAATTACGAATATTATTATGAATGTATTCTACGTTAAAACAAACAATTAAATCACTCACCAGTTTGTTTTTCACCTGTTAACAACCGTTAATACCCGAGTTCCATTATTAACAATAATAAGTGTATTTAATGCGTACATAAGATCATTATTGTCCAAATCGAAATGAATTGGAATTACAAATAATTAAAATACATTGTTATTTCCAGTGGCGCCGGAAAGACAACATTGATTAATGTGTTGACGCGTAGAAACCTATCGGAAATGGTAGTGAAAGGGTCGGTGAAATTGAACGGTAAAAGCGTTGACCAAAACTGTATGAAATCGGTGTCGGCTTACGTACAACAGAAGGACCTCTTTATGGGTAACCTTACGGTCAGAGAACACATGCGCTTTCAATCGCGCGTTCGTATGGATCAGTCCATTGCTAATGAGTCGCGCGTTCGTCGTGTCGAACAACTTCTACAGGAAGTAAGCGATTGTTACTTTTATGTTGAAATTTAATTAAATTTTTTTCACCACAATTCATTTATTAATAATGTGGTTTATGAAATGGCCGACACCCCTCCACCTTTCCCTGTCCATATTTTTTTTAACAAGTTTTATTTAATAATATTTTATATTCTCTTCATAGCCCAATTTAATTTGCTAGCTTAAAATAATTATGCTTGGCAAACTTTGTCATATTTTAAAAATTGGTTAATACATGCTATTAATTATAGTTGGGTTTAGTGAAGTGCGCGAACACTAAGATCGGCGCTCCGGACGGAGAGACAGGCATTTCCGGTGGAGAGAAAAAAAGATTAGCCGTCGCATCAGAAGTAATAATTAGCGTTGACCAAAACTGTATGAAATCGGTGTCGGCTTACGTACAACAGAAGGACCTCTTTATGGGTAACCTTACGGTCAGAGAACACATGCGCTTTCAATCGCGCGTTCGTATGGATCAGTCCATTGCCAATGAGTCGCGCGTTCGTCGTGTCGAACAACTTCTACAGGAAGTGAGCGATTGTTACTTTTATGTTGAAATTTAATTAAATTTTTTTCACCACAATTCATTTATTAATAATGTGGTTTATGAAATGGCCGACACCCCTCCACCTTTCCCTGCCCATATTTTTTTAACAAGTTTTATTTAATAATATTTTATATTCTCTTCATAGCCCAATTTAATTTGCTAGCTTAAAATAGTTATGCTTGGCAAACTTTGTCATATTTTAAAAATTGGTTAATACTGTACATGCTATTAATTATAGTTGGGTTTAGTGAAGTGCGCGAACACTAAGATCGGCGCTCCGGACGGAGAGACAGGCATTTCCGGTGGAGAGAAAAAAAGATTAGCCGTCGCATCAGAAGTAATAATTGTTACAAAAATAGTTGTTTTCAAAATATAAATGTTTTCATGTTTTGCATCAGTTGTTAACCAATCCGTCGATACTATTCCTCGACGAACCGACGTCTGGTTTGGACTCATTTATGGCCTACAATATAGTGGAAGTGTTGCGAGATATGGCCCAAACCGGGCGCACAATTATCTGCACTATTCATCAGCCGTCGTCTGAAGTGTTTTCATTGTTTAATCAATTGTTGCTTATGGCCGACGGAAGGGTTGCATATTTGGGCACATCTGGTAACTATTTATTTAAATATATACAAATTTAAACATTGTATAAGAAACCCATCTATAAAACAATATTTCATTATAAGAAACTAATTTACAATCAAGTTCTGGATTTAATTCCTATACTAATTATGTTAACGCACTTTATAAAATGCACTTTATCAGGTAACATAGTTTGTCATAGATGGATTGTCTTGTACATATATTATAATAATTAATTATATAATAAATTACGAAAACAATTTAATAATTGCAATGTTATAGAAAATGCGATCGAGTACTTTTCAAGTCTGGGCCTAAACTGTCCGAATAACTACAATCCGTCCGATTTTTATATCAAACAATTGGCTGTAATTCCCGGCAATGAAGTCGAGTCTAGAGAAAAGCTTAATGTTTGTCAATTTAATAAAATTATTATTTTAATTTATGGTTAATAAAATATCTAGAGCACATTCTATCTCTGAGCACCTACATCATTAATAGGAATAATTTATAAATACTGTGTTTAAATAAAATATTATAATAATTATTGGCTGAATTTTATGAAAATGAGGCTATACTTGATGTTAATGCAAAAATAGTGTAGTGCTAGCGGGAAAATACACCTGCTCAGAAATAGATTGTGCTCTAGGTAGAGTGATCAACAATCCCGGTTTTCCGTCACTAGTCCCTGTTAGCATATTTTGTCCGAGCGGGTTTTAACAAGTACCATTAAGCGTCCCCGGGGTAAATTGCATGTTACCTAAAATGTTCCTGTAGAAATTATTAAAGGTCGTGCAATGTTGCAGAATTTTCAATAATTATATATTAAATTTCCCGATTGTGCGAACTTTGAGTTGGTCACTCTAGTTCTAGTTGATTTTCAATTAAAATATTACGCAGAGTATATGCGATCGCTTTTTGGTAAGCATTTATGCAAAGATAGCACTACCGGACACAACCACTCATTACTGCAATAATGATTGTATTGAGTACGACAACTACGAGTGCATTCAGACTAACGCCAAATATGTCTATAAAGTTAATTGGTTTATACAGTTTTGGGCACTTCTATGGCGGGCAACTCTATCGGCAATGAGGGAACCCATGTTAACCACCGTTCGTCTCATGCAAACACTTGTAATTTTTAATCACAATAATATACAATTATTATGTATAGAATAATGTAGTTTATAGAATCAGCTACCCCCCTTTCCCCTACTTTCCCTCTCCCTCTTAATTAGATTAAACAAGGTATTACAGCTTAAGTCTATGGCTATATTTTAACATGGGACTAATGCTAATCCTATGGGACTGATGTCAAGTTTATAGACAATGTTAAGTCTATGTTAAATCCCATAGATAGTGTGAGTAAGGGGAGGATAGCCAATGATTCTATAAACCACATTATTTTATACAAAATTGTGTTTAAAAATTTATTATACACATTGTTAAACAGATTCTGTCGGTGGTGTTTGGGTCAATTTATTGGCAACTTGATAAGAATCAGGCGGGTATTATGTCTACCAATGGCGCTATATTTACAATCATCTGTACAATCACTTTACAGAATATCTTTGGTGTTGTGACCGTAATGAATTTTAAATCAGATTAATTTTATTTTAATAATTTTTATATTTATTTGCAGACATTTTGCTTAGAAATGCCAATATTTCTACGCGAGCACAACAATGGCACGTATGGTGTGAGCGCTTACTTTCTGTCCAAAATATTGGCTGAGGTACAGTAGTAATTGAATATTATCTTGTTTGTTGAATTAAACTAATCTTACTCATTACACTTATAAATAATCACCATGGTCGTTAGTTGCCATCATTTATTATGAATCCAGTATTATATGTCTGTATAGTCTATTGGATGATTGGTCTCAACAGTGAAGTGAACGTATTCCTCACGTGTGTCGGGATATGTGTTTTAATTGCAGACACAACCTGTAGTTTTGGTAAAAATCTCTCTCTCTCTCTCTCTCTCTCTCTCTCTCTCTCTCTCGATGGCTATATTCATGTGGAAATATTAATTTTAATATTTTATTTGCCATAGGTTATTTAGTCTCTTGTTTTAGTGATGGCATAATAATGGCACTGACAATCGCACCCACGATATTATTGCCCATGATGATATTAGGTGGATTTTTCCTTAATAACGAGTTAGTTTAACAAAATGATAAAACTTTCTCAATTCATAAAAATTAACCACCACTGCTTACTACAATACAGCCAAATATTGGTGTGGATAGGGTGGATTAAATACATATCGTGGTTCTATTACGGTAACGAAGCGCTTATAATAAACCAATGGCGCGGTATTGATCACATCGACTGCGAGTATGAAGTGGTCAATGGGACGGTATTGAGACCCTGCACTCCAAACGGGGCGGTTGTCATTCAAATGTTGAACTTTGATGAAGATCATTTTTACAGAAATATTTATTTGTTGATTACTATTTCATTTGTTGTACGAATACTAGCGTTTATAGCCCTATGGGTTCGATCAATGCGTAAATGTTAGTTATATTTTATTATTTACTTGTCTTTCAAATAAAACGAAATAATTTTTAATTAATTTTTTACAAATTGCATTTATGTAAAAATGCAGTAAATAAACGTATTATTAACAATAATTGTTGTTTCATAAAAAACAACTATCTTATGTGTCCCTTTTCATTTGCGTGTTTTTGCACGTTTTATGTATTTATCTAAAAATGAACTCATTTTTTCGTTTCTTATCTATCTTTTCATTTCGTTTTACTTGCGTTAATTATTATTTATAACATGCATTTCGTAAACAATTTCATGTTTATTTAATAATGTTAATTCCAGCGAATTATACAGAGTGTAAAATATATGGGCGACAATTTTTAAAAGTAGAGTACCAACGATATAGTCACGCTCACACCAGTATTGGGCTCAAATTACGTTTAAAAATACGTTTTGTAATTGCATATTAAATTGTAATCTATATTTAATTTATTTATGTGTTAAAATTAATTATAAATTTTAAAATTACGTTTAAAATTACTTAAATAATATGATTTAAGTATGTCTAAACTTACTATATCGTAGGTACTCTACTTTTAAAAATTGTCGCCCATATATTTTACACTCTGTATGAAAATGACTAATCGCTATTGTCACCCAGATCGCTAAGGTGTCATTGATAGACTGACCAGATGAGTTTATGACAATTCTGGTTTTGTTGGCAAAAATCAGCCCTATTATCCTGGATTCCTGGACATTTCACTAATTTTAGCTAAATTACCCTGGAAGCCTCCATAGACTAAATGTTTAAAATATTTTCAAAATTCTGGACAGGCCATCTAAATCCGGGACAATCCAGGCCATTTCTGGACATCTGGTCAGTCTAGTCATTGAGTGCCGGCTGTTCTTCAGTAATTGAATGGCAGAGTCGGTTACTCAGAAAACTATGCATCCATAATGCTCTGCCATCATTATTAAATAAATCATTTAATAATCATTTTAAATTTTAAAATATATCAAAAGTATATAAATGTTAAACATTTTATTTATTATTAATTTACAATTATATTCCAGTAAAATTATTCCAAACAATCTAAACTCATACCAAATAACAATTATATCATTTAAAATGTTGCCACTTAAAAATTGTCTAATTTTTAAAATTATTATGAATAAAAAGTTGACGAAAGAAAACGGCTTATAATTTATTTAATTATGTGTATTAATGTGTATTTACAGAAATATGTACACTTTAGTTTATGCAGATACAGATCATAATCAAAAGGTACATAGTGATTTATAAATATAACAACGTTAAGTTAGTAATATGTATACATATTTTGTTGTTCAAACAATCTTTAAACGATTCTAGTAATATTCAAGTAGAATAATATTTCCTAATAAATTAGTAATCTATCCTGATATATTATTTCATTGTAACTATTATAGTTTTGGACGAATTAATGTGAATTACAAAAAAAAATAATTTTTATTGCAATAGATATCACATTTTTTCACACCGTTTTAGACACGCCATGTTTATTGGGCGGTTCTAATCTATATTATATTTAGCCAATCATTAATTAGAGCTTTTTTGCAACTCGATAAGATGACCCAATAGAAACACTTGTAATAGGGATAGGCCTACTATATAACCCCAGTGCCAAACACATAACACACGGATTTGGATTCTTGATATATACTCTTGTTAAAAGAAAACATCACTTCTCCTGGTTCTGCCCACTGTTATAATTCATTGTATTTTATTGTGTTATTTTAAATAAATAAATGTTATTTTAATTTAAAACCAACCAACCAGTGTACTCATTGTGTCCTGGTTCAAGACAAAGGACAAAAAGTGGACAGCAGTCTAGTCGCGGCCCAAAAACAACACGTCAGAAAGGTAGAAATGGCCTTGTTTTAAGCTCGTAACCTACCTAAACCAATATCCAATATTTATAATTTTATCTAGTTTTAAATTATAATTGAGCTATAAATAATGTGGTTTATAGGATCATTTGACTTATTCATTTAATAATTATTGCTCAAACAGTATGAACACATCAGATGCAAACGCTGGCCCGTCTACCAGTACAGGCGTGAACATGAATTTACATAATTATGGTAGCATTAATTCAGATCAGGTAATTCACACGTATTTATTGTTTAATGTTATTTAACTTAACTTGTATGCTTTATTATATTATTTACAAATATCTCTTAATAGTTAGAGTGTTATGTAAATAATTAATGTTGAAAATTATTTAAAATATTGTTAAGTTTATTTATATAAAACAAAGAATTAGTAATATAATTAAATCAGAGAGTTGTAATAATAATTGAATTTATTAATTCATTTTAATCAAACAACCATAATCATTAGGATAAATTGTTAGACAAAGATGAAAGTGATATGACCCATATGGCTGACAGCACAAACATTAGGATCCCACTTATATTGACCATCACGTGGCACAACATCAGTGTCTTTAGCACAAGCTCAAAAATACCACGTTTCTTAAAAAAGAACAAACCACGTACTCATATACTTAATAATGGTAAGTTATCTAATGTTTAATCAATATTAATAATAGTGCTGTATTAATATTAAGAATTTTGTTTGATAAATTTAGTAAGTGGTCAGGCGAGGTGTGGTCAATTGTTGGCAATTATGGGCTCAAGGTAATTATTAATATTATCCATACTTTAATAGGATAACATAGTTTAATTATGAATAAAATAGTTCATATATCGCCCACATATCTCGTGCTCAGCCTATGAGAAAATAAGATAGAATTCTAACATTTTAATATTATAGAAATTTTATAAATATATTATTACCAATGTGATTCAGTGGGGCCGGAAAGACCACGTTGCTAAATGTGTTAACAATGCTAAACTCATCAAACATGACGGTAAATGGAGAGGTAAGATTGAACGGCAAAATTGTTGACCAGAAGCGCATGAAATCGGTGTCGGCTTACGTGCAACAGAACGACCTCTTTATCGGCAAACTTACGGTCAGAGAACACATGGACTTTGAAGCGCGCGTTCGTATGGATCGGTCGACTACCAAAGAGGCGCGCGATTGTCGGGTCAATCAAGTGCTTCTGGACGTAAGCGATCGATATGTTATTATGTGTTAATTTTATTTTTAACTATATCACCCGAATTGTAGCATATCAATAGCTATGCTTGCAATTAATTTTGCTTACATTTTAACAATTAATTAATACAACACATTAATTAGTTAAGTTTAGTGAAGTGCGCCAACACTCGGATCGCATCCATTTCCGGTGGAGAGAGAAAGAGATTAGCCGTCGCTTCGGAAGTACTAATTGTTATCAAAAATACTTGTTTTGAAAATATAAATGTTTTGAATTATACGTCAGTTGTTATCCGATCCGTCGATACTATTCCTCGACGAACCGACGTCTGGTTTGGACTCATTTATGGCCAGAAATTTAGTGGAAATATTGCTTGGGATGAAAGTCGGGCGCATTATTATCCTCACTATTCATCAGCCGTCGTCTGATGTGTTTTCATTGTTTGATCAGTTGTTACTTATGGCCGACAAAAGGGTTGCATATTTGGGCACACCTGGTAAATATATATAAATATTTATTTATGTTGTATGTAAAATATACGTATATGTACAATATAAACCCTTTATGAGAAACTCATTTATATTTAAAAGTTAACTACAAAGATTAAAGTTTAATTTCTTATATATGTATAACGCAAACTATTTTCATCAAATATCCAGTTTCTTATAAATGGTTTAGACTGTACCGTTAATAATAATAATTAATTAATTTAATTATGACAATCAAATAATTGTAATATTAAAGGAAATGCGCTCGAGTTTTTTAAAAGTCTAGACCTACGTTGTCCGAAAACATACAACCCCTCCGACTTTTATATCAAAGAAGTGTCAGTAGATCCAGTATGTCAAGTCAATAAAATTATTATTTAAATTTTCAATTATTTATGCATCTAGAGTATTAATCTGTTTCTGAGAAGCTACACTATTGCTGTACATATCTCATAAATAATGTGATTAAATCAGGAGCACGCAAAAGGTAGGCTTTGCCTCTATGCTCCCATAGACAATACATTACAGTTTACCCTCATTTACCCAAATACCCGCACTTTGCGTGCTCCTGGATTAAATAACTTATAATTAAAAATTATAAGTTTCTGATTTTATTGATATTAATTACACAGAATTCTGTTAAATGGAGCAAGTACATTATGTCAATGTAAAAATAGTGTAGTGCTGGGAAACAGACAATAGATTGTGCTCTAGGTGTTTTTTAATTAAAATGTTACGCAGGGTATTTGCGATCGCTTTCTGGTGAGCAATTATGCAAAGATGGCACTACCGGACACATCCACTAATTACAACCAGAATACAAATGACGACAACAACCACATTCAGACTATCGACAAATTTGTCTATAAAGTCAATTGGTGTATACAGTTTAAGGCACTAATATGGCGCGCATGGCTATCGGCATTGAGGGAACCCATGTTAACTTACTTTCGTTTCCTGCAAACAATTGTAAATAAATTATTGTATAAATTTTTATGACAATAATTATTATTCGCCACAATTCAAAATATATTTGCTAATCGATAGAAACATATTGCACATTTTATTAATATAAGGATTATTGACAATAATTTATTGTGGTTATATATCAATATCTTGTGCTTTAATATAATGAATATTATCTAACTAGGCAAAAATATTGATTAGTTGCGTAACAAACCTTAATTACAATTTAAACACTATTAATGGTTTAATAACTAAATAGTTAATGAATTATAATTGGCAAATAGTTTCTGTTGTTTGTGTTTGGGTCAATCTATTGGCAACTCGATATGGATCAGGCGGGCAGTATGTCCATCAATGGCGCTATATTTACAATTATTTGCTCAATAACTTTGCAAAATGTTTTCGGCGTGGTCACCGTAATTAATTTCAATTAAATTAATTTTAATTTTATAATTAATATTAATATTTTGTTTGTTTTATTAATATTATTATTAACAGACATTTTGCATAGAAATGCCAATATTCCTTCGCGAACACAACAATGGCTTGTATAGAGTGAGCGCTTATTTCGTGTCCAAAATCTTAGCCGAGGTATAAATTGAGTGATATTTTCTGGTCAATTAAATGTATATTTATTTTATGTGTTTATAATCCCCATGGTCGTTAGTTACCATCATTTATTATAAATCCAGTTTTATATATCTGTATATTCTATTGGATGGTTGGCCTCAACTGTGATAAAATCGTATTTTTCAAGTGTGTCGGGATATGTGCTTTGATTGCATTCACTACTTGTAGTTTTGGTAACTTCCTTTCTCTCTCTCTCTCTCTCTCTCTCTCTCTATCTATCTATCTATCTCTTGTATGAATATTATTTATAATAGTTTAATGATTAATTAACAATATTTTATTGTTGATCATAGGTTATATGGTATCATCAATAAGTAATAGTGTAATAATGGCACTGACAATTGCAACCATGCTAATATTGCCCCTAATGATATTGGGTGGCTTTTTTATTAATACCGAGTTAGTTAATTAAATAAACTGTCCACAAGCAATTTGTACACCAATATTATTTTATATGTTTATTATAATTTAGTGAAATACAAGTGTGGATTGCGTGGGTTAGATACATCTCGTGGTTCTATTATGGTAACGAAGCGCTTATAATAAACCAATGGCGCGATATTCAGCACATAGGCTGCGAGTATGATGTGGTCGATGGGACACCAGTCAGACTGTGTATTCCAAACGGAACGGTTATTATTGAGATGTTGCACTTCCAAGAAGATCATTTTGGCCTAGATATTTGGCTATTGTTTGTCATTTCAATGGTAGTAATTATTTTCGCTTATATATTACTACTGTTTCGATCGATGCGTAAATGAAAATTAAGTTTTATTAATTTATTTAGCTTGTGGTTTTAATATTTATTTTAAATTAAACTTTTAAATAAACTTTACAATTTTAATTGTATAAAATTAATGACTCAATAACTATTATATTCAAAACTAAATACATCACACTTACCTGACAATTAAGTTTAGCATAACTATTTATGTTACATAAGTATTTCCCAGACACTTTTTGGAGAATGACTGCTTCCAATGCGATTATCTCTGGATCCACAATAGATAGAGACAAGTGGATTGCACCGTTTTATAGCTTAATAAATGCTTTTGTAGTTTAATTTCCATACCATATTGCAAATTTATTTCTTAAACAATTAATATAAATTTGTGATATAGTAGTTTTGCGAGATTTGATCCGCGTTGGTTAATAGGAAATACCATTTATTAAAATATAGACATTTAACTGAGCTTATCTCATGTTTACCTCAATATTTATTACAAATAGTAATAATTTTTATAATAATAAAAGTTATTAAATCACCAAATTATATGGGCCTAATTATTTTACATTGTAAAATACAGAAATTATCAAATATGAAATGTATTTTAAATGTTTTTTACTTATTATTGGAGATAATTAACATAGTTTAAAAATTAAATTAAATTATTTAATTGTATTATTTAACTTAACAAAATAATTATAAACATTTTATAACATAACATTAAATACTTTATAAAATTGCAAAAACAAAATAAATAAAAACAATATAATCTAAAGTATAAAAATCATAAGATTGCTATGATATTATCTACTAGATAAATTAAACTTATAAAGAAACTTTATATTCATGTGTTATTTCTACTAAACAATATTTTTGTTGTTGCTAATTATAATTAATAAATATATTATTAGACTGTATTTTTAAATAATTATTAAAATATAGATTAATAATAATATAAAATTAACAACAATGATTCAATTAATAAAACCCCTAATGCTCCACGTTATAATATAATAATTTTTTAAAAAATCTATTGTTAGGGTAAACTTATTTTAGTCTTGAAACGGTAAATTGGCATCATGATAAAACTATAATGGCCGAATCCATACCATCTGCAAAACCAGCGTGAGTACATTTGTCAAATATATGTTGTATTATATATTTTTTATTATATATTTAATATAAATTATTTTATACAACAATCATATTATTATTATTATATAGTGGTATCTACAGTATGTTGTATTAATTAACGCATTAATTGTTATGATATATTTTATTAAATATTTTATGTAAAATGTTATGATATATTTTAGTTTATGATAATAATGTAATTTAAATAAATTAATGTTATATGTTTTCACAATTATAAATAAATACCTGGCCCAACCTTGGTTTAGGAATTATTAATAAAATGACATTATTTATTATTCATAATACAAAAATAGTTCCTAAACCAAGGATAAGGTTGATTATTGTTCAAAGAGAATGGACACATCAGATGTAAACGTTGGCCCGTCAACGAGTCAGGGCATTAAAATATTCAATTATTGGCGTAAAGGAGAGACAACGCCACCAGATAAAGTAATTTACACGTATTCATTGTTTAACATTATAAATTTTATGCTTTATTAAATTATTTTTAAATATATATTTTGATAGTGAGAATGTTCTGTAAATTTTTAATGTTAAAAATATCTAAAATATTGTTATAAAACTATAAAAAGTAGCTTGATAATTAAATCAGCGAGTTGTGAACAACATATTGAGTCAATAATAAAATGCTTGAATCAATTTTAATAAAATTATCATAATCATTAGGTTCAATTAATAAACGACCATCATATCGATGTGATCCCACCCCCTCTGACCATTTCGTGGCACAACATCACTGTGTCTACCAAAATGTCGAGACAAATACCATTTCCCTTTAGAAAGGGTAACGACAAACCACCTGTTCATATACTTAACCATGGTAAGTTATTTAATGCTTAATTACCATATTAACAAGTGCTTAAATAAAACAAATAATAGTAATTTATTAAGTATCATGTTTATTTATTTAGTGAATGGTCAGGCAAAGAGTGGAGAGTTGTTGGCAATTATGGGCTCAAGGTAATTATGATTATTATAACCATTCAATTACGAACAAAGTGGTTTATATGATAGTGACGCCTCCTATTCTATAACAGAATTATAAATATTATGGAAAAATAAAAATCAAATGTAAATATATACAATATTAATTAAAAATATTATAATCTCTCTCTCTCTCTCTCTCTCTCTCTCTCTCATCCATAAAATATTCAGAAACTTCTGCCGTCTTTCTTATGATTTTATATTACTTTTCATTAGAGGAGAGAGAGAGAGAGAGAGAGAGAGAGAGCGAGCTATTTGGTAGACAAACGAGAATATAATCTCTAAAATAGATTTTAATCACAAGTCGTAACTCATAATTACGTACAGAAAAAAGTGAAAGCAACAAAAAAAAATAGGGAATCAAGAATTTAAATTAAAATATTTTATGCAACAAAAATAATATATTAAAATTTATATCTTTTTCGTTTATGAAAAGTATTTTTTCATTAATTTTAAAATCTTTTTTTATTTAATGTATAAGTATTTTATATTTAAATATATTTTTTGCTGTAATGGATTATTTATTATGTGTCTATTGTCTACATATTAATCAATTCTATGCTATATTAATGAAAAGTATTTAGTTTTGTTGTTAGTTATGAGGTTTTAGTGTAATTTTAAATTAAAAAATGTAATCTCTCTCTCTCTCTCTCACATTATGTCTATTAATCTAGATTTCAATACAGAGGGAGAGAAAAATAAAAAATTATTTGTTAAAAAACATTTCATTAAATCCAAGCAAAAAATAATTTACTCTTAAATATAAAATATATTTTTAAAATGTATAACAAATCCCTAAAACATTTTGATTAATAATACATTTTAATCGATCGATTCCTATGGATAAACACAATATAAATACATTAGATATTTTTCAAACATAGTTTAATAAGTAATTTTTGGCAAATTTTAAATTAAACCTATTTTACCATAATGTTTAATGTATTATCAAAAATGAGTGATTAGTTATGCTCGTATGGTATTAAGAGATTTATTATCGAAATGGTTTCTCTTGTCCCCCACTCCCTCCCCACCCCCTATTTCCAACTATAATAAACTTTAATACAGTTTAATCTCTATTATAGTAATAATTTGTATTTAATCCCATGTTATTTCTATAAGAATTATTATTTTATTAATGATTTACCATGATATATATTTCTCATACGCTAACTTATTTAATTATGGAATGCCCCCTCATTTAATAGTGTCATGAAGTGATCTGACCCCCCGTTCGCCTCACTTCAGTCATAGTAAAAATAAATTTCAATTTTTTGAAAATTACGAAAATAAATAATTATAAACATTCAATTGATGTGCGGTTTCATTATATTGTTAAGCGTTTAGCTAAAACACAAATATATCGTTAACCTTTACATGGTTTATTAGATTGAAGCTTTAATCTATAGTATATTTTAACATTGCACTAATGTTAGCATATGGATATTGTTTATAAAAAACGTAATGTTACGTCTATGGGTAATACTATGTATAACATTATGTGTATACTTCAAGCTCAGTTAGTATTTAAATTTTTATTAACCAGTTAAATATTTATTAATAATTGTAATGTTAATAGTACTGGTAATATGCCACTGATAACACTATGGTATCTAACCAGTCAAATGAAAGTGTCGCCGCGGTTTTTGTGATTACAGCTAAACTAGAAGAGCTAGATCAAATCTGTAAAAAGTAAAATGAAGGTCCACATGTCTAGTTTTTTGTATTAAAAAATTATTAAAATCACGTGACTACAACACAGAAATTTTTGGGTCAAATCGATTTGCCATGTTTTTTGCCCACCTCGAGGGGGGCTAGGAGGGGGGCGGGTATGCTAATCTTTAGAGGAAATGTCAAAGACTATGATAGCAAAGTTTTATAAAATTCTAATGAACATTCTTTTGTAGCGAATAAAATATTCAAGAAATTTGACATAATATTTGGCCAAAAATAGCCCAATTTTGACATTTTTATACTACATTTTTGATGTTATAAAATGTTGACTTCAGAACAATTTTTTCCCATAGACCTAATGTTAATAAAATTTACAATTTCTCGTAGATGGCTTAATGAATTTAAATCAAATTTTGCTACCATAGTCTTTGACATCTCCTCTAAAGATTAGCATACCCGCCCCCTTCCTAGCCCCCCTCGAGGTGGGCAAAAAACATGGCAAATCGATTTGACCCAAAAATTTCTGTGTTGTGGTCACGTGATTTTAATAATTTTTTGATATAAAAAACTAGACATGTGGATCTTCATTTTACTTTTCACAGATTTGATCTAGCTCTTCTAGTTTAGCTGTAATCACAAAAGCAAAGTGGACAGATTATGTTGACTGGTTAGATATTATTATATAGTGGTATCTACAGTATGATGTATTAATTAACGCATTAATTGTTATGATATATTTTATTAAATATTTTATGTAAACTGTTATGATATATTTTAGTTTATGATAATAATGTAATTTAAATAAATTAATGTTATATGTTTTCACAATAAATACCAGACCCAACCTTGGTTTAGGAATTATTAATAAAATAACATTATTTATTATTCATAATACAAAAATAGTTCCTAAACCAAGGATAAGGTTGATTATTGTTCAACCAGAATGGACACATCAGATGTGAACGTTGGCCCGTCAACGAGTCAGGGCATTAAAATATTCAATTATTGGCGTAAAGCAGAGACAACGCCACCAGAAAAAGTAATTTACACATATTCATTGTTTAACATTATAAAGGAGGATGACCAGATCTGTAATGGGGGCTTATGAAATCTGTAATGGGGACATAGGTTAACTGGTTTTTAGAATTTTTTTTACAAATTAAGAGCGATTTGTTGTATGACATTGAACTACGTCAAATATGGAGTAAATTGATCTTTTCCATGTGATCATCCGACTTCGGGTTAAGCCGCAGTGACCAATTTTAGCAAGAAATTTAACTTATCCAATACTGACATATTATATATGAAATCAATGTAGAATTTAACGCAGAAGTAGAATATAGTAATAATATCTCGATAGGGTGCATAGATTTAATGTAATTTCAATTTATTTTTGGTCCGCGATAAGTGATAGTGACTATTGAGTCAAGTGTGTTGAAGACGGCCTGGGCATGTGTGTTGTGTTGGTGTAGATAGTAAGGGTTGAGGGATGATAGGTTATTTTATTACTTTTACCTAAATTTCAACAGTTTTAAGTAAATAACATAAAATCTACTGATCCCACCGATGTGTTATTGCGATATTCTAGTTCTACATTAGATTATACATCGATTTCATATGTCACATGTTAGTATTAGATAAGTTAAATTTTCCCGATAAAAGTGGTCACTGCGACCGAACGCGAGGTGGCTCAGCCATATGGACTATACCAGGGGACTCCTTATTGCATGCACTTTCATGTTTAATGGTCAAATCCCGATTGCCAGCGTAGGCCATTTTGGACATCGTCTTTTTATGCTTTATTAAATTATTTTTAAATATATATTTTGATAGTGAGAATGTTCTGTAAATTTTTAATGTTAAAAATATCTAAAATATTGTTATAAAACTATAAAAAGTAGCTTGATAATTAATCAGCGAGTTGTGAACAACATATTGAGTCAATAATAAAATGCGTGAATCCATTTTAATAAAATTATCATAATCATTAGGTTAAATTAATAAACGACCATCATATCAATGTGATCCCACCCCCGCTGACCATTTCGTGGCACAACATCACTGTGTCTACCAAAATGTCGAGACAAATACCATTTCCCTATAGAAAGGGTAACGACAAACCACCTGTTCATATACTTAATCATGGTAAGTTATTTAATGCTCAATTACTATATGATCACGTGCTTAGATAACAAAAATAATAGTGATTTATTAAGGATTATGTTTATTTATTTAGTGAATGGTCAGGCAAAGAGTGGAGAGTTGTTGGCAATTATGGGCTCAAGGTAATTATGATTATTATCACCATTCAATTACGAACAAAGTGGTTTATATGATAGTGACGCCTCCTATTCTATAACAGAATTATAAATATTATGGAAAAATAAAAATCAAATGTAAATATATACAATATTAATTAAAAATATTATAAACAATNACCATTCAATTACGAACAAAGTGGTTTATATGATAGTGACGCCTCCTATTCTATAACAGAATTATAAATATTATGGAAAAATAAAAATCAAATGTAAATATATACAATATTAATTAAAAATTAATATTTGTTACACTAAATCACCCCGGCCTTTCTGGTGCAACGAATTACACGATTGCGTCGCTTTGGATAGCCTTTACTAGTTATATCCGCTCCAGTTTAACTTGCCGTGTTGACAACTGGTCTTGAACATGAAATCGGTGTCGGCTTACGTGCAACAGAACGACCTCTTTATTGGCAAACTGACGGTCAGAGAACACATGCGATTTCAGGCGCGCCTTCGTATGCATCGGTCGACTACTTCAGAGGCGCGCGAGTGTCGAGTCGATGAAGTCCTACGAGATGTAAGCGATCGATACGTTATATTGAAATTAATTTAAAAAATTTTATTATGTAGTTTAATTATTATGTAACTATATTAAATTATGTATTTAATTAAATCTACATTATAGCTAATTGAATTGTAGCTAAATAATAGCTAGGCTTACAATTAATTAATTTACATTTTAACAATTGGTTATTGTTTGATATTAATTAGTTAGGGTTACAGAAGTGCGCCGACACTCGGATCGGCGCTCCGGACGAAGAGACAGGCATTTCCGGCGGAGAGAGAAAGAGATTAGCCGTCGCTTCGGAAGTAATAACTTAAACATAAAAACAATATAAAAAATAGTTGTTTTTTAAAAAAATTTTAAAACAAAATTTTAAATGTTACATAATAAATTTGACAGTTATTAACAAATCCGTCGATACTATTCCTCGACGAACCGACGTCTGGTTTGGACTCATTTATGGCCAAAAATTTAGTGGAAATGTTGCTAAATATGGCCCAAACCGGGCGCACAATTATCTGCACTATTCATCAGCCGTCGTCTGAAGTGTTTTCATTGTTTAATCAATTGTTACTTATGGCCGACGGAAGGGTTGCATATTTGGGCACATCTGGTAAATATATATTTATTCATGTTGTACGTAAAATATTACATGTACATAATGTTCGTCATTATTTGAAAACTATTAAAATTCCCATGTTGCCAGGACGGAATTTATAGGGAAACTTCGGAAAATAAAAAATGCGTCAGGGAAATGATTAACAAGGGGAAAATATTTTAAATAATTTTGATTATTTTAAGCATTATTGTGGATAAATTGTTTGAAAAGTATAAAAATTTGTAAAATTAATTTTATTTAAAACAGTACTCAATTACTTTTATAATGTATTTGATGAATAACAAAGAATTGCTTGTCACTCACATAGCCTTATTATTTGAGCGCAATTATTAAATTTTGATTAAAGAATAATTTACAAAATGATTCAAATTAAATTAATTGAATAGATTTTACCTAATATTCTTCTCGATTATGTTTAAGCATGTTAGCCGTGTACATTATTTATACTATTTTCATAAATATATAGAGCTAACCAGTAGCAAACTGGTGTAAAAACAAAATAAAAGGGTTAAAATTCCTTATATTTCTTAAAAGGCCGCGTTTTGATAAAAGGACGAAGATAGTTTTCAAAAATGGGAAATGACGAACATTACATGTACAGTATAAACCCTGTATAAAAACTCATCTACTGATAAATATGACTACAAATGAACCAAGATTTATTTCCTATAAAGTATATGTATAACGCAAACTATTTTTAGGAAATCTCCAGTTTCTTATATGAATTTCTCTGTGCAAGAAACACATCTTTCTTAATATTGGATATGAGGGAAAGTAGTGCGAAAATCTCAGAGTAAAATGAAAATTATTTTCTATTAATTACTAAAATAGTAATTCAGATTATATATCGGCAATCATTTTTGTCAACTATTGACCTTCATTTTAGGAGAGATTCAATATCTTCCAAATAAAAATGGTTGCCCTGAGAGTCAAAGAAGTAAGTGAGGTATATTTTGACCACTACTTTTGTTTTGACATTTTTACCACTAAGACATGATTACAGAGTGTGATATAATAGCCAATCTTATAGAGCAATAACTGATGGTTCTAATAAATATTAGAGAAATAAACCCCCAAAACCATATATCTTTTTTAATATGATTTTAAAAATATGTCACCAAAAAAAATGGGCCAAAATAGCCATATTTTGGGTATATTCACGAATATTTGCTCGGGACCCTTTCATGGTCACTTTTAATTGGTCATAAATAGTTGCCTTTGTTAAGCCTTAGTTGACCAACAATTCCATATTTGAAAGTCTTTGACCGGACTCAACCCAGTCTTCTGGCACATGATTGTTCACACTTAGGGGTAGACTTAATCGTGTCCTGACTTAGAGGTCATAACCTTCAAATTTTAACATTTTAAACAATCCACTGAATAGGTCGATAGCCAATACATCGCATACGCCTCTAGTATTGTTTAGAATAAGCTATTAAGTAGTCATTCAATAGTCCTGACTTAGAGGTCATAACCTTCAAATTTTAACATTTTAAACAATCCACTGAATAGGTCGATAGCCAATACATCGCATACGCCTCTAGTATTGAAATCTTATTCGATAATTCATCAGTAAGTTACGATTTTAAGTTTAACTTATTTTTATAAACACACAACCGATACCAAATAAAGTAGACCGTTGTGATGAAGAATTACGTTTATATAATTAAACTACGAATATAATTGAAGCTAATAAATTGAAGTATTGAATCGAGTTGGAATGAATTGATTCATACAATACAAACAAAAGTTATAGTTATAGTTATAGTCAAGGAAGATTTTCGCACTACTTTTCCTCTCATCCAATATTTTCATAGCTGTAACGCATTGTAAAGCATTAAAATAAATGCATTACAGTTTGAGGAGAGATGTTTCTTGCACAGATAAATTCATATATGGTTCGGACTGTACATTTTAAATAATAATAATTAATTAATTTAATAATAACACCATCAATCAAATAATTGTAATATTATAGGAAATGCGCTCGAGTTTTTTAAAAGTCTGGACCTAGAATGTCCTAGTAACTACAACCCATCCGACTTTTATATAAATAAAGTGTCAGTAATTCCCGAACTCGAAGAAGAGTCTAGGGAAAGGATTAAGGTAAAGTCACTTTATATTAAGTCAATCAAATTATTATTTAAATTTAAAATTATTAATGTACCGAGAGCATAATCTGTTTCTGGGCAGCTACACCAATTCTTTGCAAAAGAAGTTTAACATTATATTAATGCAAAAATTGTGTAGTGCTCAAATAAACAACAACATTTGCTTATGAATAGATTGTGCTCTCGGTGTTAATTTTTATTAAAATACTATGAAGGTTATTTGCGATAGCTTTATGGTGAGCACTTATGCAGAATTAGCACTACCGGACACATTAATTGACAACAACCATGCTCCAAATAATGATAACGACCGCAATGAGACTACCGCCAAATTTGCCTATAAAGTCAAATGGTATATACAGTTTTGGGAACTTTTTTGGCGGGCGAATCAATCGGCATACAGGCAACCCATGTTGACTTATATTCGTTTACTGCAAACAATCGTAAATAATTTTTTGTATAAATTTTATCACAATTCTGATTATGTTGGACATTCCATTCGCAAAAATTGAATAGTGGTTATGATTTTCTTTGCTAGCGAAACTTGTTTGCAATTTAAACACTATTAACTAACTTAAAAATTAATTATAATTGGCAAACAGGTTCTGGCGTTAATGTTTGGTTCGATCTACTGGCAACTCGATATAAATCAGGCGGGCATTATGTCCATCAATGGCGCTATATTTACAATTATCTGTACAATCACTATGCAAAATGTTTTCGGAGTGATCACCGTAATGATTTAATTAATTTTAATTTCTTAATTAGTATTAA